AATTTTAGCAGTGTAAGACTAGAGGGAAGGCAGCTAGTCATCATCACCCACCGCCAACTCTTTGGCTACTCTTTTACCAGCGAATAGTGGGATTGACTGTCACATTACAATGCCCCCCACGGCTGAAAGGGCGAGCATGTTTGGTGTGACGGGGATTCGAATCCGCAACCCTCAGATTTCGAGTTGAGCTCCCTAACCACCTGGCCTCTTCATAAGAAAGGAAAACTTTTTTAAAAAATCCCTTAAGCTAAAAATTTTCATCCTGTACAAGGTTGACTAAAATAAATATCACAGAGAATCAAGACTGGGTGACAATAGTTTTTAAGTCCTGTTGTTACAGTAATATATGTAAAATGCTTCTCATAGAATTACTTTGTTAGAATTGGATAAAAAATAATTATTATTTTGAAAGGATATGGAAACTTGTATTTAATTTGTTTAGGAGAAGATTGAAATATCTTTTGTAAGTCAATAAATTTTATATACAACTAAAAATCTATTTTTGAAAAGAAACTCAGTCTTTAATATACAAACGTGTCTCAATTTCATCCAAAATTACAAAAAAAGTAATTTATTAAAATTCTACATACATCATTTCTAGTATTTATACAAAAATGTAAACAGTTTAAAATGCTGTGTTTAATGAAATATTTCATTCCTAAAACATGATGTTTTCACTAAAATTGTATGTAAACACTTTTATTGATCACTTGCAACAGAGAAAAACTAGTTTTTATAAAGATTCATTTGTCAACAAATGTGCAAAAGAACAATACAAAATTTGTGCTTAAAAACTACTAACAGCACTGTATACGTTTTATAGTGCCTTTTGTGAATAACTGTATCAAGTGATTACTTGCATATTTAAAAAGCACATCAATCATAGTAATTTTATCTTTGTTTTCAAGTAATTCACAGGTCAAAAATAAACTTGCAAATGTACGTTCCACATTTTTACTGTCTTGTAATATTTTTTTATATGGGAAAAAACAGTGATGATAAATACATATTCCATCATAATAAGCAAATCATTCTCATCTGTAACAAGGAAAAATCAAATCACTTAATATTTATTTTTTGAATTAAAAAGTTTAATTGCATGATACAGTTAACCTCTTGAAATTTATAAATTTTCCTTTGTTTTAATATAGACTTGTTGTTCTTATACTACTATTAGATGAAATGTTTAACGGAAATTTCCAATTTTATTTTATTTTTTGTTAAATGAAATACTTTTGGAGGGAGAGTCAGAATGGCAGTTCGATTATTCATAAATGAAGTTCCACTTACATCTTTAACTTCAAAGAAATTTACATATATTTTAACATTACAAAGAGGGATTAACCCTTTCCAGACTGGAAGGATATTCACTGATTTTTTTTTCCTTCTCACAGTAGAAATACTTAAATAATTTGCATGAAACTTATAGAAACTTATTAAATAATATCTAGTTTAAGAAGTTTATATACAATCTAATTTAGTTTTTCTATCATTTTTAAGACGTGAAAGTTCCAAAATTTTGTTGTGAGACACTGTTTGAAAAAGTCACTAAAAATACATTATATTAGAATTAAAATCTTTTATTCTTGATCAGCAAATCACATTTTATGATATTTCTTTTGGTTGTTTATTTTTCCTATTGAATTATTCACCACTTCCAACTATAAATCATAAAACACCACAAAAATTGACAAAGATTTATCAGTGATCTAGGACCTGACCTCTGAAAATGGTTGACATAAATTTATATGTAACAAATATAATTCATTTTCAATATATAATAAATTATTTTATTTATGCACATTGTTTTAATAAGATAAACTTAACAATAACATTCAATAAATACAGATTTGAATCACTGGAATATTCTGGCATTGCCTACGGTACTGATGTCATAGAATAAAATTTTCATACAAAGATAATGTAACACTAGAATATGTATATATATTAAATGGCACTTGTGTACATGAATAATATTAGAAATTTTAAGTAATACAGGAACAAAGAAAATATTTAAAGCAACTTCAAAAAATTTCCAGACCTGTCGTTTGTTTCTAGGTTTCCTAAGCTTTCCATAAGATTCCGTTATTGTTCTCTGAAGAGTTACATCTAGTCACTTTCTCACCCCCACTTTATTCACTTTACACTGATTAAAAAGTTTATAATCTGCTCTATCCAATAGTATTTAAACTTTGCATGTAGCTACTTTCAAACATGAACTTCTTTAATAGTTGTTCATATCACATGCTATGAAATCATAAAAGGGTGCGAATGAAAAGCTGCACTAATAATATCAGTAAAAGAGAAAGAAAATCAGTAAGAAATAAAACATGGATAACTACAATCTCAAAGAATAATTTTTTTGTCAATATAAACTTACATTCTGGAATGGGCTAGAAACTTGTAAAAAGAAATCTATGTGGTTTGTTGTTTACAGAACAAAAATGAGTTTCAATATTGTTTTCATTTTATTACAAATTACAATAAATGAATATTACAAAATGACAAAATATCAGTTCTAAAATTGTTTCAACAGAATTAAAAGTATTATTTTTACTATAATCTTGAAATTTGATATGTACTCAACACCTGAAAGCTAGGTACTGGCCAGTCTGGAAAGGGTTAAGAGAAGACTAATAATGAATTACTAACTGAATTAATTTTAGGTACAAAATTGGTAATCAATTCAGTTACATTCAATAATACTACAACAATTTCAAAACAGAAGCTTCCTTACTTGGCTTTTACACAAAGTTTTTAAACAATGATAATAACTATCTCCAACTGATATAGAGAATAGTCCAATAATTTTTTTCTCAACACCCCGCATAATCTGTTTCTTCAAATTATACACAAGCTAGATGAAAGCCACTTTTTAATAAACTTAAATTCTGGTATGGTGTGGGGGGGAAAAGATTCATAACAAAAGTTAACAAAAGCAGTTTTCTTCAAATGTCACTACTTAAATGTAATTTTGGTGAAAACTACAACAAATTATTAAGAGTAATAATAAGAAAAACCAAAAAATACCACACCATGAGCAACGAAGTACTATTGTACAAAAGAACACAGGGAAAGAAATCAATAACTTTAAGCTAACTCAAAAATTAAGAGAAAGCTCAGTTGCTTTACATAACTTAAATATTTACATAATTTCCACAGATTTTTCCTATAAAAAGTAACAGAAAAGAAAACATAAACTATATTATGGTATATGTACAATACATCAGGTTTCTTCAGGTGAAATACTCACTAGATACATATGTAGTGCTTTCTTTTAGCACACCACTACCTTTTAATAACATATAAAAATGTGTTACCCTTTACACAGAACTCTTTTCTCTTCAGTATTTTCTCAATTCACATCAAACGCTATCCATATTTTGTTATTCCACAACTGTACGTGTACTCAGTTTTCTGAAATGTTTCTCAGAAACGAAGATGATGTTTGTGTTTCACCATAAAACTGAAGATAAAGAAAAATCGGTTAGTTTAAGATTTCTATACAGGGGTAAAATATCACAATTTTTTTTCCAATAACCCAGTTGAATTTATGCAGATAAATACAAATGAATATGTTATTCTTTCCAGATTTTGTAATTGTCTATGCAGACTTCATTGTTATATTTTATTATAGGGAATGTAAGTAAGAATATAATTATATTATGTAAAAGCAACAAGAAATACTGAGATTTTAATACTCAAGTCAAATTCACATTCAAAAACTTATCCAATAACTTGTCATACACAAAAATCAGGGTTGCAGACTTTTTTCTACTTCTCCTGGGTTACACAAACAAGGATGTATTAAGTGAGGAAGTTGTATTATGAATGGTCAACAAGTGTTGATCTCTGCTGAAATGGATAACTTTACCTTCAAAAAAGGAACTTGATATGTTTAATAAATGGTGACAATACTGTCAAAAACATCTTAAAGCTTTACAACTCCCAAATGAAATTGGTTACAATACATTCACCTCAGATACATTTCAAAAGTTGTGTCTTATTACCGATTTTTATTAAATTATTTAATATGTTAAACCAATAAACTTATATGTTTTTTCCTAAAGAAACTAATTCAAGCACTTTTGGGTTGGTTTGGTTGTCTGTGGCTTTATAGCACAAACAACTGAAACTATCTGTGAAAGTTTTTTTCAATAGCCACCAAATACATTTAATTAAAATAATTAAGGATATATAAAATAAAATACACACAGAAAATCCTTCTTTTTTTATTATGAAAGATGGTTGAAAAATTAGATAGAATTAAAAAAACTCAATGATCCAAATAAAGTGGAAAACATTTTAGAATGTCAATATCATACCATGAATTAAAATATGCTTCAAATGATGGTGGTTGTAACAATGGCCTTAAAGAAAACAAATATAAATATAGGCATTTGACTTGACTGTCACAATGCTCACACATTGGTGGGTCACTTCCTTGTAACAGAAAATTATAGGTTATAAAACTATGGGCAATGCAGAGCCTTGCAAGGACAACTTCCTTTTTCTGATTCTATGTAAACTAGATGGCCAACCAGTAATGATAGGTTTTACCTGGAAAAGTGTATTCATACATTGATCACCCCAAATTGCTAATCAACTGGCATGAAACCTAGCCCTAATGACAGACTTGAAATCCAAATATCAAATAGGCAAAGCTATGACATAACCAATGGAGGCCACTTTTACTGTGGTGATAGTGAACTCATTCCCTCGAATACTGACGGACAGGAATCCAGAAAAAATGAATGGAGACAAGTGATTTAAGAGAACTACAGAGCCATAACAAACAATGACTGAGACATAAAGCTGATTTTAAGCCATCCATAAATACTGGAACACAAGAATGTCTCGAAAGGTGTTCATTTTGAAAGAAGTTAGGTATTTTAGTTGGGAACATCTGACTTCATCAAGTGACTAAATTTGTATGTATATATCTACAAAACTGAAACACTAACACACTCGCCAACAGTTTTCATTTCAGTGGGGTAGTCCTTATTTGTGTATGAGAGCCAACTGAAAAAGCAGTATTATATATATAAATGTATAAGCTACGTAAATATATGTGACGGAAAAAAAACATTTGCATCATCCACACCCCTTATTGTCAGTGTCCCACTAAACAGCTTCCAAATGTTGGAAAATATGTTTTAATTCATGGAGCAACTGAAAAAGGAAAATAGAACATGGTTATGATTCTATATATTCTCAGTGTAAAACTGAAGAAAGCCAAATCAACCATGACAACTATACTTGTAATCAATATATATCAGAAGTTATTTCCTATATTTTTTGTGTTTTTACTTTAATAATCAAAAAAGTTACTTTTGAGTCATCTAAAATAAAAACGTTATACTAAGTCAACCACAATTCCACAAGGAAAGAAAAGGTTATATACTATTATATGACATGTACTTGCCATGTTCTACAACCCAATGTAAAATATCTAATAAAAAAAAAAGCTGATAAGTATGTTAGAAATGTCTACGAAGAAGATATTTCAAAAGCAGAAATTAAACTCTAGATGACATTAACTACGTACTGCTGATTTTACATACAGTGTAGTGGGAAGTACCTACCATCTTTATTACAACTACAAAACCAAAAAGACCTTGCAATGATATGGAAAGTATCTCATAAAAACTTCAATCTCTCTTGTTTTTATGTGGTCAGTGACAAACATTTCTTTAAACAACCACTTCAACATGCTATACATAAAACAATCTCTCTCGTTTTTCTTTATCTAGTCAGTGATAAACATTTTTACAACACACACTTCAACATGCTATATATAATTGTTAATTTATTACATAAAGAAAAACAAGATTGTTTTCATTTCTTTAAACAACCACTTCAACATGCTTTATATAAAAAAACTGAGTTGCAATCAACAAAGTGCTCGAAAATTTATGTTACTTGTGAACCTAAGAAAATAATTAGCTTTTAATATATTTCTTTTAAATTACTTAATATAGATTTAAGCTTTTACAAAGACAGTTTTCTACCAAGTGACATGATAAACTTAAATAAAACACACAAATAAGTAGACCATAAGTCACTTTATGAGTAGGAAAGTGAATTCTTGTATTTCAACAATTTAAAAATGTTTCAACTTTTTGTATTTTAATACTGGGTTATACAAAGAAACTGACCTATCTAAGACTTCCCAGAACTTCAGGAGATTAGCACGATCTAAATGACGCTTCTGCTTACTCAGCTGTATTATGTGAATTGCCCATTTAGCAACATTACTATCCAGTCTCATTTCGTCCCACTTCAAATGAAATGCTCGTACTGTAAAATAAATTTCCTTGTAGTTCATCAAGAGACTGTCCACTCTTACTCTAATGATTTTTTTAATCTGTTACATAAAAAAAAAGATGTTTATATATTTCCTATAATTAATAATGCGTGGTTTCTGTAGCACTAAAAGGTCAGTCCCTTTAAAATTAAAATAATTAAATTGAATAAAAAATTATTCCTTATATTTTCTGTCAAAGAATTTGTCACAAGTTTCTAAAATTTTGATTGAATAAGGTGTCCCTTCAATCGTGCCGTGTTATTTTAAATACAGAAAATGATAATAATAACAAAAAAATAGATAAAATTATAATAATAAAATGTTAAATGGGCCAGGCATTGTATCTATTAATGGAAGGGCATCTTGATTGAATCAAAAGTGATTCCTTATATTTTTTGTCGAGGAAATTGTCACAAATCACTAAAATCTTGAATGTATAAGGTGTCCCACTGATTTTACCGTGTTCTTTTGAATACTGTTCAGTGATAGCTTCTTTGTTGTCAAGATTTTGAGTGGCATGAATGTGTTCTTTGAAACGGTCGTGTATTGGACGATTGGATTCACCTATACACGTGGCTAAACACTGTGTATATGTAAGTTCATAGACAGCATTTTTAAATGTGCAGGAATTCTCTAAGCCATTGGTCTTTCCAAAACACTTTTTGGATTTACATATATTGTCATTATTAAAGGCTGAAATAGCAGAGATGTTACAATAAAGAATGACCATGGGGGTGGGGTGGAATCACAAAATTCATAATAATAAGTGTGCAACCCCCCACAAAAAAAAAAAAAAAATCCTGCCATGTTTTTGAATGAATAAATATTACATAAGTAAACTGAAAATTTAAGAATATCATAAAAAGATACTGTTTTATCACTTGGATATTGTATTTGACTTCTCATCTGTAAGGTTTTTCTAAACACAGTGACACCAAAATCATGCAGTAAGCCAATTGGTTATTAGTGCGAAAATAATGTCTCAAACAATATATATTTCATTGTTACAATAATTGTCCAGCATGTGTAGATTTTTAGCAAATAACTTGTATTTATGAAATTCAAATCACAATATATTTTAATTTTTGTTAATTAATACTTTTTTTAACCAAGCATATAACTACTACACTTAAAAACAATAAGAAATCTTAATTTTAAATAGGTTATTTGGTAAAAGATTTAGTCTAATTCTGTTTAAAGTCAGAGTTATTTGAGCCAGAAAGTTTATGTGATATACTTAACATCATCATCTCCAAAATAGTGATACTTTCTCCATTCAACACACTAAAGTAATTCATGAATATATAATACTAAAATGGTTTTTAAACTGTTTTTACTATCCAGTTTAGTGAGTGTTAAGTAAGAAGTATCAGAGGAATATTAAAATTAAAAAATAGTTTTGGGCACTTTTGTTATCATAATATCCATTGACAAAAATATTGCTGATGCTAATTATTGCATTGTTGTAAACTTAGGCCTGACAAGATATAATAAAAAGTCTTATTTTTTACTTTTTGTCCAAGCTTTTCCCTAACATTATTTTTGAACAGTGAGGTAAAGATAAGACTGTTTTATTGCACAGTGTTTTCAAACTTCATAAAGTTTCTGACTATAATGTATTTCTATGAATAAAATAACAACAACTAGCTTGTTAAAATGGAAATGTAAGGCAATGAGATGAGGCACAGTAGGACAACTCAGTGGATGGGAGTGGCCAAGGGACCAGTAGCAGTAAATGATCCATTTATACTGATGGAGGGCTAGTGTGAAAGGTCAGCAATAACAATACAGAAAACAGGCTACTTTCCATGAAAAGTCCAACCATTGTGCAAGAGACCGGATAGATCACACTAATGAAACTGAAGACATCCCATCATGGATGATGGACAACTGATAGGTGAAGAAGGGATTGCCAAAGAAGAAGTGGAAGAAGCTCTGTGGATGACAAATGGCACAAGAAGAGAAAGCACAACTGAGCTGGCAAAAAGGGATAATTAGAAGAACCCAGTAAGGGGTGTAACAAATGAAAGAATACAGGAAAGAAGTCAAAGAGGAAAATAGGCATAAAGAAAGAGGTCAGATGAATCCTGACTCAGAATATTTACAGCCAAAGTTGCAAAGTATGGGACTGTAGACCAAAAAAAAAGAGGGAAGTCACAAAATGGGAACAAATCCAAAAGAAGAAGAGACCACTCTACAGTAAGGATCCTATCCAATCAAGACAAGTGTTTGCCACCAGGTTCAAACCCCCAGGACCTGACAGGCCAACAAATGAATCTGATGGATATGGGTCCAAGAAAGAAATTTCTGTGAGAAAGCATAGGTCCTGAGAATGAATGCAATCCTGAAGGTTGATGTGTGATATGACTGTGTAATTGTCTAAATGTATTATCACCAGACAACCCATGAACTGAGACTAAAGATGTTGGGAAGTCTGATAAGACTCACTACACATGTCGTGACATGTGTAGTTTGACATGCCCGCATGTTAAGGGTTAATCACACACACACCTAATTAACATGCAATCAGTCACATAGGCACATTCACATTCTCTTCCATAGCAGTTTCCCATATTCCATGCTACTGCCAATTTTCACAATGAGATTTGCATATCGACTGAAGTATGAGCTAAAAACTAACACATCAAACATTTAAAATACTGGGAAAAGTGAAGCTGAAATACCAGAAGTGTTTGGTCAAAACTTCAAAGATGGAACATGTGATAATAGATATTCTCAATACATGATATACTGTACACCAGTACCGGTACTGATGGCCCAGTACTGCTACTGGTACCAACTGCAAATCCTAGGCAAGAAAGCGATGCAAGGATGATAAATAGATGACAGTATGCCAATTCCCAATCTTCTTGGGAATGACAAAAAGACAGGAGTAAAAACTCTGAATGAGGTGGAGAACCTGCTCTACATCTTCCATAACCTGCAGAGAATACAGCCTCCAGGAGATGCTAAAAAATGCATGGAATTGGAGAGAAGTTGAAAAATAACCATACAAAGAGAAAGAGGATGGGGAATATGAAAACACGGGGACAATGAGAAAAAAACCTGCATGACTCACAGACTGTTAGCAAAGGGAGTTCATAGGTGTTCAAACAGGGAGAGCCAAGCTCCACAGGAACTGAATCAAGAGGCAGCACACAAGACATCTGCAAGAAAAGATGGCAAGAAAAGGCAACAGGAGAGGGGCAGCCCCATGTGGCTCCTGAAGACAGGGAATCTGTTGGGGCACTCACTATCTCATAAGGCAGAAAACTAGAAAACCAGTGAAGATGCTGACAAGCAGCTTCAGCTTTAGATTCCCAATAATTAGGAACACCTCCAAAGACTTCTTCATGAAGGAAAATAATGAGACAGAGGGCTTGGAGATAAGAAGGAGGGAGGCACAGACTTGAAACGAAGGAATTCTGATCAAATAAGTCCCCAAAACAAAGGAATTATATCAACAAAAATACAGCAGTAGTAGAGATTGAAGCTAAGGTGATGAACAAGTAGAAACAAGTGTCTCCACCAAAACTGATGAGGCTGCGAGGATAGCCTTTTGAGAAAAGGTGAAGCAGAGACAAATAGCAAAAGAGCTGTGTCATGGTAAGATGAAGGTGAGTAGGTTTGGGACAATTAAGACACAAAGTAGGAGAAACGGGCACCCCAAGAGGGGGGGAGAGATTCTAGGGACTGAGGTTTAAAGAAAACATTAATATCATGAACTTGTGCCATAAAAAAATAGTCACAAAGGTTAGGAGGTCTAGGCTGACATGGAGGCTGTGGAGGGAAAGGAGAGGAGAAGAGAAAGTCAGAAGACAAGGATTCATGAAGCAAAGCAACCTAAAACTTATCAAAAATTACTGGAGAAAGAGAAAACTCCACATACCTGAGTAATCAGAGTAAAAAATGAAGAAGAATTAGAAGCAAAGGCAGTCAGAAAGAAGAGCTGGCTAAAGACATTATTAGATAAGGCAGGCTCAGCAAAAGCAACAGAAACAGAATTATGAGAAACCTGGAGGAGAAAGGAATGAGGCAAAAAGGTACCAACCACTAATACTACTGACAGACAAAATTACTTTCCTTGTTGTTGAAAAAGCAGAAGGAAAATCCTGTAATGGAGTGTCAGGGCTTTGTGAAGTATAAGTTGTGTGAGTCTGAAAATTCATAGTCAAAAAACAACCCATGAATCAACAATGGCTGGCATTTTGTTTTTTAGTGGTGGTTAAATAGATGAGGGCACTCACAGTCCAACAAAAAAGGTCTCTATGGTAAACTAAATGAGTGAGATAAAGAAAAAAGAACTCAAGGTAATAGATCAAATGTCAATACCACAAAATTCATAAGAAATACAAGAAAAAGCATACCAAAACATCAGCTGAGGAAAAAATGAACCTATGTTTATGTGTTAGTGCTTATGGAGATTACTGCACATTGAGGATGTGTCATCCTCCTACTGGTGGAGAACTATAGTTTAATGATGATTACATTATAGGATGGTGCAAAACATGTAGGGGTGAAAGCTTTGTTCAAGGCTTGTGGCATGTTCAGGAATACACGAGGTGTGCACAAGGTAACAGCTGTTTGTGGTGTGAAGAGATGAATAGCATTTTTGAATCATTTTATTCTTTTAATTTGCATTTTTAATTCCTAGTTGTAAAATTATAAGTTTAGAAATTTTTGTAAGTAATATTTTACCTTGTTTAATATAGCTTGATAAAGATGGAATTTGCATATTTCAAAAAGTTTAAGTATTAAAAATCTGTTGCCATATCATGTCAGGTGTTTGTTGCCATCATACTTTTATTCATCATAAATAATGTTCTACAGACCTCAAACACCGAGGCAGCAGAAGCAATGGAAACATTTAAATTATTTAAATCTGATATGTATAGCCACTTAGTTAAAAACAATAAAGGAAATATGAAAAACAACTCGCCACCAGATATGCCATAACTGCAGCATGACCAAAGAACAGGAAGAAAACATTTAA